TTTATAGAATGTACACAAAATAAAATGGATATTTCTACCTCCTTGGGAATTAAAATCAGGAATAATTGTGTCAATTTTAACTAGGTTTCAATCTCCTCACATCATCAAATCATTTAAAATTTTAAGTATATTTATTATAAATCAACCTTCTGAGAGTAAATTACTATGCTATGTTAGAACCATATAAGAGGTTTCACTCATTCATTCATTCAACAAACATTATTAAGTACACGCTAGACTGTATGTTACTTCTACTGAACTGGGGACTCTTCAAGCCATCACCAGTCCCTAGAAGTCTGTGCCTGCTCTTTGTAACATTTTTGGGCTTCAAGTTGCATGTCTTTCCCACCATTGACTAATAGGCAATGAAATGGCCATAGGATTGTGTTTATAAAATGATTTTGTTAGGTTGATTAGGAGAAGTCAATTTAGCATACTGTATTAATCTCTAAAACTCAAACTGAAAATCTGGGCAAGAATTTAGTCAAGCAAAAAGAGCAAAGTTTTAATAAAATAAAATTGGAGAAGAGACTATTACTATTAAAGTTCAGCATGTAATTAATTGTTATTTTTAAATGTAAATAATTCTGCATCCTAAACAGAATGTTTCAATTCATAGCTCAATTTAGAATAATTTATTAGGATATTAAGGTCTTCTTGCTCACATTCATCTTGTGTATCACTTCCTAATTTTTTGTTTCCTGATCAGAAACCTACAACAATTCCTTAAAATTTATCAAATTGAGTCCAAATTCTTCACCCTCACTTCATGTACCCCACACAATACCCCACCTTCCCACTCTCTCCATCTCCCTGACTATTTCAGTCAGGCCCTACGCTCCAGACAAACCTGATCTCCCCACAATTCGTTCCCTGCCCACAGGCCCTTTGTACAGGCTACTTCCTCTAACTAGGACAAGCCCCACCCCAACCTAGATAACTCCTACTTTCCCTGTTAAGACTCACCACCTCAAGCCCTGCCAACCCTGGCCTTCCCAATCACCTCCTTAGGCTTTGTTCCCCGGGGTTGAATCTCAAAGTTCTGCAGGATCCCATAACTTAATGATTTGCAGCTTACTCCACTCTATGATAATTATGGATTCATGTAACTACCCCAATAAGACTGTGAACTCCTTAAAGATAAGGACTCAATTTACATACCCAGGACTGATCACAACTCTTGCCTAATAGAGGGTGACTAACAAACCAGAAACCAAGGAGGTTATCAACCCTTGGCACTAAGGCTCACAGTGTTCTTGTTACAAGTTTATAGAACACATGCTTAGTTCTGGAATTGAATGTCTTCCCATTTGGAAAGCAGTCAATCTACTGTATTTCTCATATATTTACAGTGTTCTCTGCATTATATAACCTGTGTGCTTGTCTTACACTCTTTTTAAACTATAAACTTATCAAGGGTAGAGATTATACCAAACCCCAATAATTGGCCCCACTGATACGAATACTCATGGATGACACAAGGAAGGGCATGTACATATATTTAGTATTCAGCCAATGCCCTGCTTTAACCCATGTGGAGAAGGCGATACAGTTACAAACCTACCTTACAGGGATCCCAGAGAGTCAAATCCTCAAGTTCTGACCTCTTTATAGGCAACTTAAGATTTGTTATGAAACTTTGTTTATAGCGTTAAGTCTAGACAAGTTTCATATGAGCAGGGATATCTTCAATGCTCTAATATTTTATTATTCCCAGTTATTCTACCCAAACATTAAAACTCAAGCTCAAAAATATGATTACTTCGACCAAAAAGTATACTTTAAAAATTAATATTTGATAAACATTAGCAAGCACTGAATGTTATCCAGAACAGTCCAACTGTTTAAAAAACACCAAATGTTTTAATTTTGATATATGAGTTAATTATTGTAATTGTAGTAACAGCAGCAATAGCTACAATTATAGATTCTTCGCTGTGCTATTCTAAGTACTTTAACTTTTTTTTTTTAATCCTTACAACCCAATTTATGGAGAGGAAACTAAGGCACCACTAAGTTGAAGAACTTGGCCAAGAACACACAGTTAACAAGTGACCAAGCAGGGATTCAAACCTAAACCAATACTTTGAACCACTTTGCCATACAATATAAACTGCAATTACCCAAACAAGAGCCCAAAAGTGACAGGGACAGGCTATAAATGTGTTTTAGTCTTCTCTCAGGCTACTTCATAGACATTTCAAGCATTTAAACCAAAAGTCTAACATTATAAAACCAGCTTGTGTGTGTGTCTTAAGGGATTATTCTCTATAGGGATGCTTTTTACATTTAAATCTAAGATGATTGCTTTGGTGTTATATTTTACCATCAGGTTTCTCAGTAGTATGCTATTTTGGGTACCCTGTAAAGACAAAGTAAAATACCTAATAACATAACTAGAAAGCATTTTAAAAAACAGTAAGTATTATAAAGTGTCCCTATAAAGAGAATGTTACAAATAATGATACCATCATGCTTAATGTTAACAGGGTTCTGCTAAAATTTATTTTACCCAAAATGAAATGACTCTTACACATATTAGTAGAGAATCTAATAGATTCCAAAATATCCTCAATTTGTATGATTACCAATTAAAATATTCCCTTCGTATCCTTCATTTTTTTCATGATTGCTCTAATTGACATAGTCTCCTTCACCCGACACAAAGTTGTCTATATGTCCCTTGTTTTTTAAACTAAGTTTCAAATATTTTCTAATATTACACTGAACCATATAAAATTACCTTTTGTAACCACTTTTATCTACAAAAATAGACACTTCATATGCTTCAATCTAATAACTTTCACAAACTCAACATATTAAAAAGCATAGATGTACTTAACGAAGTTATGATTGTCCCATCACTGTAATACTTTCCTGGTAGCACACAAAGGAATAAACAGTTTATGCAGTTTTTGGACTCGACAGGAAAGAAAATAAAAAGTAATTATTCTCATGAGAAAACATTCACAATAAATTGTTATGGAAAAGGACTGAGTTACTTAACAGTATGATACCAATTTCATTTATACATAAAAACACCAAATATTAAAACTCTGTTTTAGACTTCTGGATTGTTGTTTCTTTGTTCTCTTCACTTGGCGGTTCTTTTCCTAATTTTCTAATTAAAATGTAGTGTTTCTGTAATTTATAAAAACAACTTAAAAAGAAGTTAATCTTTGCTGAATTCTTTACCACAAAACTACTTACTACATTAATGAATCTGCATATGCAATCTAAGGCAACTATTACAAATTTAAATAGCCTACATCTTTTTGTTAACTCATTAACGAAGTCCATGAGAAATAGCACAATAATTCAATAAGTTATTTCAAAAAACACTGATCATGTGCTTTGTTGATATGGTTAAATACTCTATACAGCAACTAAGCAAGCCAAATTAACAGTTGGGTTTAGTTTCATCATCATTAAAAAATGATGATCTGCTCTAACAAATAAAAACCAAAAAGTTAAAACATAAGGGATCAATGTGGAGCAGAAATGGAAGGAGATTAAGAGGCAGAAACAATCATTTAAAATAAGGGAGAAACTAAAACAAGCAAACGAAAAGGCTCTTTTCCTCTACAACAAGTGTAAAAATGTTTAAAACAACAAAAATATGTTTTCATACTTAAATGGACAAACATAAATGTTACAAGTACCTTCTAGGAAGTGTCTTCTTTTAAAATTCTGATAAATGGAGTCCAGATGTTTAAAAGTAAGTTTACCTGAGTTCACCGCTAACTACATGAAATAAGCTTTGAGATAATATATAAGTTCTGAGATTTTGCTGATTAACCAGCTACCCAGAATGGGTTCTTACATTTATAAACCAAATACTTTTTTAAAATACGGGAAGAAAGGTTTGGGCTGAGCAGTCAAACGGACCATAAGGTAAACAGCTCAATGAGTCTGCTGTGGTTTACTGCCCTCTGGCTGTTGTGGCAGGCGAGATCACAGATAAAAAGTGGCTGCAGAGAAAAGCTAGGAAGGTGTCAAGCAGGAGATGGCAGGAAATCCTTTAGGCTTTAGAATAGACCCTCAAACATATATTCGAGTTAGTTTTATTCCTTCCTTAAAAAAATATTAGACATATCAACTAACAAAACTTTCCAAACACTATTTGAAAATTTTCAACCACCAATTAACAAAACATAGACTGGACATAATAAAAGTTGGCTCTAGAAGACTAAGTCAAAAAGGGTTAATATTCTACCCTAACTAAAGATCAGAATTAATCTTGATTTAGCAAAATCCCTTAGCATACTAGAGGGAAACTTTTAGCTAAAGAGGTAAAAACTTTTGCCAGAAATTCAAAGATATTGATAAAATTTCCTCTGGTTATACATCTGTGGTAGATACAAAATGTTCAGTTTAGAATGGAACTCCTACAGTAGTTCAAAGTGTCAAGGTATCAGGTGTAATCGGAAGTCAAAACTTAGGCAACATTGGAACAAATATTTCCTGGAATCACCTATTTACATAAAAAGCAGGAACAAAACGAAGGAAAACTTGCTACACCAAAATGAGACCTAATCGTTTATATTAATCTTTCTTCAAAACACTAGCCAATGTCATCTCATACTTTTGTCCTATAAAAGCCTGCACTAAGTTTCTATTATCACTTTACAATTTTCCACTAGAGTTCTGCTGGCAATGAACCACAACAGCCACAGTCCAAGAAAAAACAATTCTGTTCATGTCACTGACTTGCTAATTACAATTCACTATCATTTTAAAACAGTGGGTCTTCGCCTCATTTCCAACCCAACACACCCAGGAGACACAATACCTTCCTTTAATAATAGTGGCTCACATAGTTCTGATTTCCAGCATGACTGGGAAAGAACAAGAGAATTTGATAAAATGGAGGTAAAAAGAAGACGGGTGAGAGGAGGATGTTCCTTTGAGAGAGACACCCATTAGTAACCTCTTTGGAATTCACCAGTGTTGAAAAACTATATGATGCAAATAATTCTTAAGAAAAGTCAAAGCCTTACCCTGCAGTTCATGATGTATTACACCCACTAGGTTGGGTTCGTCTCCCCACCAGAATATCCATAACTCTTTGCAATCTGGTTTGACATCACGGCGCCACACACACAGCAAGTTGGCTTGCAGACAGCGGATGAAACTTAGCAGGATTGGATCATCTTGGGCTGGGGCTGAAATTATGGGTCCACAGTCCCCGTGCCCTCCAAAATTGTACCTACGCCATTTGATTCCCGTGAGTTCAGCCTAGAAAAAGACAAGAAAATTACAAGAGTTTTGATTTTTCATTTTAGTTACAGAACACTAAAAGCAGGCTTCCATACAGATAAGCAAATCTGCTAAATATTCACACACACTTCATATTGTAAAATTTCTCCCGCTGAAGAGTATGTGTTAATTCTTCTTGATTTTTAGAGAAAAGAATTCATTTCTTCCTATCAAGGTTTCTACATAGCTCTGTATATTAAACACCAAAATACAATAAACAAATTATCTTTATTTCCTATTGAACCATTTTTACCTATATTTTAATATATAGAGACTTTACTTACTATAAAGTTTCTCTATATAAAACCACTTTCTATATTATTACTCCTTAGTTGACTCATCACTTATATTTAGAAATCAGGTAAAAAAAAATTTTTAAGTGTAGAATTGAAACTTCTTCCTAGGAATTTCCTCAATTTCTTCCCATCCAGAAGCCATACAGTTCAAATCCTTTTTAGTCAAGCAAACAGTTTGCAATAATACCACAGTGCTTCATTATGAACAAATCAGCTGCTAATAAAACTGATGCCGAATTATCAACAATTTATTCGTGTTATTTAACATGTAGCACACAGAAAAGCTCTGTTTCTATAACAATTCCCTAATGCAGTTTATCTTTCGTTTTTTATACATGTTAAAACATGGGAACTTTAAACCAGTTGGCAGCAGAACCTGTATCTTTGTTCTGTTACATAGATTTGTATTTTAAAATTTCTGAAATCTTAGGTTTAAGAAACTAAACTTCAAAGATGTTTCAAAACAAACCAAAGTTGAGTTCCTTACTTAAGTAGCTATAAAGTACAACTATGTACTTAAAAACAATAGCGAAACCGATTGGTAATATAATTCTGCACCAAACAGTCCCCTGTCCTTGCATTCATTTACTCATGTCCTTACTCATCTTCCCCCTCCCCACCAGCCACCACTACCACTGCCAACAGTCATTTCTGTCAACAAGTTGTTTTTCAAAAAACCAAGTACCACAGGGTAGAAAATTAACCATTTCTTCTATTAACAGAACTGAAACAAATTTAAAGTGCTAAACAGTTACTATAATGAACACATTTTAGAAAAAAATATCAATTTTTTGATCCAAAAAAAAAGCTTTACTTCAAAGAAAAGTTCCCCTCCAAAAAAAAATCATATCCAAACTAAAATTATCTAAAATTCATTAACCTATCCTTTTACACTATGATATACAAATCTGATCTTTAATGAATATTTTTAATAAAAGCTGGTATTGGCATCATTTAGCTTTGCCTTTATGTCACTTAGTTACTCTGACTACAAAAGTACTACATGGCCTAAAGGACAAAATAAATGAACAAGCAAACAAAAAGTACACGGCCAATTCAAAAAGTTCATAAATAAAATAATGTTTTTAAAAGGAAGCTAATCATACCAGAAGTAATTATTTTCCATAATCATAGCAGAAATAATTATTAGTATCTTACTGTATGTTCCTGTTTTCTATACATACACATCTCTAAAGTTTGAACCATAAGGCATGGTTTTAATATCCCGCTTTTTCATTTATTATAAATATTTTTATATATTACTAATTATTCTTCAAAAACAATTTTTAATGTTTGCATAATATTCTATTCACTGTTTGGAGAAAACAATTTATTCATAACAACTGGATAATCTTCCATTTTTTTCACTATTATAATTACTATAATTGGTGAACAACCTTGAACACTGCTATTTTCCTGATTATTTTCTTAGGAGAGAATGCATGATGCAGAATTACCAAAGAATATGAATATTTTAAGACTCATGGATGAGTGCTACAATAATGCTTTTCAATTAATAGTCCCACCAATACAACCTCCTCCCAAACTGCTTATGTTTTTAAATACCTGCCACTTTAACAGAATGATATATCTTTATACTAATTTGTAGTCCTTGTTCTGTTTAGAGGAAATCATTATCATATATTTGATCAGAAGTATAACCTTCGGCCAGCCTTTCAGGGTTTGAATCCCAGCTCTGTACTTACTAGCTATAAGTAGCAAGTACCTGGAAAGTTCCTTAACCTCTGTCTCTCAGTAGCCTCCCTAGTAAAATGAGGATAATAGTATTTACAGAGTTGATTAAATGAGTTAGTATACATATAAAGCACTTGAGGACAGTACCTGGCACATGGCAAAAAATATAAATGATACTATTATCATTACTAACGGTAGGACTATTTCTCTTTGAATTGTATGTTCATACCCTTTGTGTTTTTCTGTCATACAAGTTCGTTTCTTCAAATAAAAGCTATAAAAGCTGTGTGTGAGAGCCTAACAATTTTTAAATAAATGTCAAAGAAGAAAACTAAATAAAAAGACTAAAAAGTAAGCTGAAATCAGAAAAGTTAAGTAAAAGACTAACTTTTCTTATTATCACCCCTGGCTGGTGTTCTCTGCCTAAGAATTGGCGGGGGGACACAATAAAGATACCAATAAATATGAATCATTAATTAACCATATTTAAAAGATAAGAAAATTAAGATATATCAGAGATTTAAACATCAGGTGAGTCAGTTCCCAAGAAAAACTATGAACAGCAATTGACTTATTAGAATACTTTCACCTGTAACAGCCGGCATGGTTCAGCAGACAAAATATTTGGCTTTGATTCAGGAGAATGGCCTCCTAATCCTAGCACTTCCACTAACTTCCTATCAGTGTTTCCATGGTCTCAGCGGTAAAGGAAAGCCACTACCACTTGCTCTATATTCTTTACAGAGTAGTTCTAGCAAGTGATAAAACACAAATACAAGTGATATAGCAAGGCTACAAACTTAACCATTTCATAACTAATTCAGTCAAAATAACTGAAAAAATGTCCAATTATTTTAAAACAATTTAGTTCCTTTACCTTAAAGCTAAAATTAAATATCATTTAGACCATTCTTCACTGGAAAATGTAACAATGAACCACCATCCAAGCCTAATAGAGATAACTAAGTATAACTAAATATAACTAAGTATATCTAAGTATAAAAAGAATGTTCAAAGACTTATCTTTAAATTTTGAATTAATGTTTGATAAGGGGCAAGACGACTTAGTGCTACTGAAATACTTGTCCAAGAAAAAAATTCCTATCATGGATGTGTATATTCAATTAAGACTAAAATATGTCCTCATATATGATGATCATGTTTATACTTAAAGATCAATTCAGCACAAAGTTATGTTGACCCAGTTTTTGACAAATGTATATCTCTAAGACTCAAACTTCTTTAATAATTTCAAAATTATGAAGCAACCCTTTAAAATATTTCTAGATGCAAATTATCCCCAAAATGCAGTATCTCTCATTGTCAAAGATGAACAATCCATAACTATATTTAATAAATTTACATGGTTTTTAAAATACAGAATCAAGATAACATTAAAATATACAAGGAACAAAACAGTATATATAACAAAAACCATGTATATAATACATATATATATTTTATATATAAATACTAAGGGCACCAAAAAATGTATACATATTTTAAGAAAGGAAAAAAACAGTATTAAAATTGTAACACAATGCATGACACTAGCATTCATTTGATTAACACCATCTTTTGAGCAAACATCATACTACACATTGCTACCATAATTCAACTTTGAAAAGTAATACATAGATAACATCTCTGAAAATGTGGGCATTTTTTGGCACCCCCAGTATATATATATAATAAAAACCATAACCATCATCATTTATTCATCACCTATTTAATACCAGGCACCATACTAGGGTCTTCATCCATAATTTCTAATCTTCACAAACAGCCAGCCAAAGAAATTAGGACTCAGAAAAGTTAAATAGTTCTCCTATAACACACAGATGGCAAATTGCAGATCCCAAATATAACTGAACTTAAAGCATAACTGCATTTAAAGCATAAATTGTTTCCACTCTGCATGTTGCTTCATAGGGCTAATGGTAAAAATTAACTCTAGAGGATTGTAAAACAGTACAAAGAAACTGTCATCAACTCAATTTAGCAATGACAAGAGCTCATGGCCATAATTTCTAATTTAAGAAAGTTCATGAATCTGGGCCGGCAGAGTGGCTCGATGGTTAAGAGCTGGCTTGGGACGCCAGAGGGCCCCGGTTCAGATCCCACATATGAGGGCCAGTGACACTGCCCTCTACAGCTAAGATGCTGAACAACAGCTCAACCTGGAGCTGGGCTGCCGTGAGTCGCCAGCGATGGCTGCAGTGGGTTGCCATGGGCTACCGCATGTAGCCAGCAGCCGCAGTAAGCGGCCGTCCAGAAGCTGGCGACTGATCTGCCTCGCCGGGGAAGAGCGCAATGATGGTGCCAACTTGGGCCAGTGAAGCAACGTCCTCCACAACTAGATTGAAGAACAAAAGGACAGCAATTTGTCTGTTCCCCTTCCCCCAATTCCCCAGCGCTGTTCCCATCCCCCAATTCCCCAATAAAAATCTTTAAAAAAAAAAAAAGAAAGTTCATGAATCTTTCTTTAGTCTTCCTGCGGTATTAAGAAAACAAGTATAAGAGTGCCCACACACCTTCCCATGAATAGATGACTTTTCTTTTTTTTACTCAGATCATTATATGCCTTCTTTTACAAGTTACCACGAGAACACAAGCTAATTCTTAGACGGTATGTATAACAAGGGCAGAAAATAACTATTCTAATATCAAGAGAGACTGGAGGGAAATTTCCTCAGCAATGGTTGTTATCTTTTGTACAGGTAGCCAAAGTCCTCAGAAAATTGAACTGAACTGGTGGCGACTCCCCTGGCCTAAACAGAAGGCCACTACAGTCAGTTCAAAATGGTTCAAATTAAATTGATTACAACAGACTCAGGATAAATGCACTTTCTAACAGCATGAATGTATTTTTTTAAAAATCTATATTAATTTTTCATGTCCTCTTCTTTAGGTACTCTATATAGGACATAAATGACCTCCCAGTGGAGGTCATTTATTTGCACTAACTCAAGACCCCATGATCAGATTCCT